GGATATCAAAATATGACATATACATATGTATACATAACATATATAAACAAATTAGTATATAGTCATATAAAAACTTACTACTTAACAACTCTGAAAACCATCTCCACAAGTTCAGGGGGCATTTTAATTTTAGTGAAGTATGTGTTGTCTTTGTTCATTTTACATGGGGTTTCTATACTTTTGGGAACTGAAAAAAATAAAAATAAAATCAGATTTGTTGTCTAAACTCAGGGTGCCTTAGGAAACAAATGAGGCATGCTTCGTTTCTCTCATTTTGAACACTAAAGACATCAGGAACATAACCATGTAGCGAGTTGGCAGAAAATACAGAAAAAAATGCCCAGAAAATACAGAGCCACCATTTCTTCCCTTAAGGGAATCTAACATGCATATCTTGTACTTCACTGTAAAGGTTAACTGTCAGTCTATATTTGCGAAGCAAACTAATTGGTATTTCTGTGTTTATGATCCTGTATACATATAATTATGCAACATTTTCAGCAGGAAAAAAAATTTCCCACATGTAATAAATGACACACTGTGACTGTCAGTTAAAGCTAGTAATTTTAAAAAAACATTTTCTGACGCATAATCATTGTATATATTTATGGGGGACAGCATGATAATTTGATACAGATATACAATGCAATGATTGAATCAACTCCTCTAAAACTCATCATTTCTTTGGGTTAGAAACATTTGAATTCCTCTCTTCTGGTTATTTTGAGACATACAATAAATCCTGAACTATGGTCAATCTGAAAACACTAGAGCTCATTCCTCTGATTTAATGTATTTTGGTATTTGTTATCCAACCTCCCTCTCTACACCTTCTTCCTCACCTTTCTTAGTTTCTAGTGATCACTATTCTGTTTTTATTAGATCAGCATGTTTAGCTTCCACACATGAGTAGGAACATGCTTTGTCTTTTTGTACCTGGCTTTCTTCACTTAACGTAAGTTCTTCTAGTTTTATTCATGTTGCCACAAACGGCAGAATTCCAATATTCTGTTGTGTGTGTGTGTGTGTGTGTGTGTGTGTGTGTTTGTGATACAGATACACACCACATTTTCTTAATTCATTCATTGTCAATGACACCTCATCTGATTCTTTGTCTTGGCTATTATGAATAGTTAAAGCTTATAATTCTAAAACAAAATGAAACACAAGAAAAGCACACAAAACTACTTCATATTAGTGAAAAAATGATATTACATATTTCCAGACCATGAAATCTATTTGAAAAAACTGGAAATAAGTTCATGATTAAAGTATTTACCTTTTAGATTTGCCAAGGTTAATGTTAACTCATCCATCAATAGTTCACTCTGGCCAGGCATGGTGCCACATGCCTATAATCCCAGCAACTCAGGAGGCTGAGGCAAGAGGATCATGAGTTCAGAGCTAGACTCGGCAACTTGGTGAGGCCCTAAGCAACTCAGTGAGACCTGGTCTCTAAATAAAGTATATTTTATAAAGGACTGGGGATGGGGCTCAGTGGTTAAGCAACCCTGTGTTAAGCAACCCCAGTTCAAAAAACAAAAAAGGAAAAGTTTGCTCTAAGAATAACCTACATTTTATGGAATGGCTTGAGTTAGTGCTTTAATATGTTGGATGAGTGAGTAGACACAAAGTAATAAAAATGGGTTATTCAAGTGTAATTTCATTAAGGAGCCCATCCTGATAAATATAAAAACACTGAAGCGAAAACCAAGTTTCAAAATCTCAGAAATAATACTTAAAATCTACTTTTGGCTTTTAAACCTTCTATCTCTACTGAAAGGGCACATGAAAGAATCTAGCTGTTGAGACCAAAAAGGAAGGTTTTTTTTTTATCAAAGAACATTTCCCTGTAGAGAATTGTGCCATGAGTCTTGCCTCATCCAGTTAGGTCTCCCATCATCTCAAGTAAAAAAAGGGCTTCAAGGAAACTAAAGACTTGGTATGTTTCTCCTGCAGTCTCCTGGGGATAAGTGAAAGTGGAGCTGAACAAGCAGCCATTCTGTGGAAGTGAGGAGGGGTAGATGCCATAGTCATCTTGAGGAGACCAGCTTTTCTTTTGGATAGAGCTCTGAGTGTTTCTTATAGACCAGTTTGGGCCAGGAGCATCAAAGAGTGGGAATGAGAATGATTCAGGTCCTGTTACACAGGGCAGTCAGGAGAGAACACAGGACTTCAGCCAACAAAAGTTTTATCTCAGATGCTTCATGAGGAGCATTTGCAGGGCTGGCTTCAGGGACTTGTAACCTGTGGCATTACAAGGGGCATGTGATTAAACACTGGGCTATTGTCATCTTGAAATTTTACGTTTTGGGGAGTGTGGGGCCTCCAGGTTTGCATTTTGCTCTGGGTACTGAAGATTAGGTAGCCAGTACTAAATCTGTGACCTACATTGAGAAAACAGAATGAAAGAGTCCCAGCAGTGGTGAGGGAGAAGTCCTTGAAGGAAATCAACAAGGACACCATGAGAAAAGAGTAGACCTTAAATATTTACCACACTCAATTGACAAAGATAGCAGACCAACTAATAAAAGGCATGTAGAACTTTCCTACTTCCCTCACCTCTTTCTTTATCCTCCTACAGCACCTGTCAACAGAAAAGATGAAGCCAGCTTAGAAAGAGGAGAAAAGGCTTTGCTATGTACTCCTTTGCCAGGTGGGGGGTGTTGGCCTGCAGTAGATGCTAGCTGAGGAAGAGAGACAGCCACAGATTTTCAAATAACTAGAATGGGACTATTCTGTGACTTAAAGTGACTACTATAGCACTTTCATTAAATGGAATTGCTTAGAAATACCATGAGGCTGTCCAAGTTTTTCTCCAGGAGTGTGGGGAGAATTACATTGAATGCATGTTAAGGGAAAGTGAAGTACAAAATGGAATTGCTTTTGAAATTGCATTTCTCAAGTGATACTTATTCAATATATGTATTGATTACATAATTGAATTTGAAGAACCTAGAAGCACCAAATGCTTTTAACTCATAAATGTTGTTATCTTTTAAATTTAAGATAATTTTCTGAAAGGTAGCTTAAATTTAACAGTGAAACCGCACTTTTTGTGCATTTTATTTCTTAATATTATTTGGTAGTAGGAAAAGAAATGTTAGAATTTTTTTTTTTTCCCATTTGTCCTAGCACTTGGGCTCATCTAGTTGGTGGCTTGTTGACAGTGTTCTAAAAATGTAATAATTGTTTAATGCCGTCACCTTTAAGGTGAGGAACCATATATAATATTTTTTTAGATAACATGTTTAACATTTGACAGAATTAAGCTTGATTTATTTTAACTTAGTTTTTCAATGGCTGTAGCATAGAATATCTTTTTTTTTCCTAGTAACTATTCCAAAATGACCTCAATTAGGAAAAATGTTGATGGCTTTCAATATATTTCTTCTGCTAGTGTTCCATTTTATGCAGATTGTTGTAGACTAATTATAAAAAATCGCATTTAGTGTTATTCATTGGTGTGAAATTAACTTTATTACCCATGAACTGCCATTTAGAGTAAAATAGAGTTATGTTCTTTCCTGGGATTCTATGAACTATATTTTAATGATATTCAACCACAAGGAGATAATTGCATTTTTAAAAAATCTGCTGAAGTCTTTTATAGTTGGTCAAACTTTACAAAATATGAATCCTGTGATTTGATTTTTTTTACATAAAAAAAATTAGATATTTTTTCTAGCAGATATTTTCATAATGTCATTCAGGCTAGAAAATACCTTATAGGGGATTTATTTGTTGTGACTTACCTGATTATTATTTGAACTATAAATTATATCATAGAGATAATTTTGTTTATTTTTGAAGTTTTGCTAAAAGTTATTTTGTCAATATTTTTTATTTACTTTGTTCTTAATTTTTTAAATGTTAATTTTACAGATTTGAGGGGTACAATGTTACTATTTTTGGGGGGGGGCACTTACTGAATTCAGGGGCACTTGACCATTGAGCCACACCCCAGCCCTGTTTTGTATTTTATTTAGAGACAGGGTTTCACTGAGTTGCTTAGCACCTTGCTTTTACTGAGACTGGCTTTGAACTCGCTATCCTCCTGCCCCAGCCTCTGAGTTGCTGGGTTTACAGGCGTGCACCACTGGGCCTGGCCATAATATAGTGATTTGATACATTTACATAGTGTGTAATGACCACTAATTTTATTTTAAATTTGAAAAGACTATAAGTAGAATTTGGATCCCTGAGGGGGCATCATGTGAAAAACTATATTTGGATCATTTGTAATATAAAAGACTATTATTTTCAGGGGGATACTTGGATTGTAAACCAGCAGCACTTTACTAAGATACATATGCAGCCCTTTATATTTTTTATTTTGAGATAGGGTCTCATTAAGTTGTTTGGGACCTCATTAAGTTGCTGAGGCTGGCCTGGAACTTGTGATCCTCCTGTCTCAGCCTCCAAACCACTGGGATTAGAGGCGTGTGCCACTGTGCCTAGCTCGAAGACTGTTCTTAAGGGAAAGTGTTTAGCTTTCCATCACTGGGACAGAATATCTGAGGTAATCAACTTAAAAGTTGGAAAGGTTTATTTGGTTCACAGTTTCAGAGTTCTCAGTCCAGGACCATATGGTGTATGGGAAACAAAGTGAGAGGAAAAGGAGGGTCCAGGGTCCTACAAGGACATGATCCCTTGACCTAACTTCCTTAAACTATATCCACTTCCTAAAGGTTCTACCACTCCTGGTAACATCACAGGCTGGGAATAGCCCTCAACATATGGGCTTTGGCGGGGGGGGGGGGGGGGCATTAAAATATTGCAGCTATAGCAGAAAAAAAATTTTTTAATGAGCTGAATGGCATGCCAGGCTGGTCAAAATTGGGGTCACATTGGCCTTTTGCTCACCACCTGACCTCCTGAGCCATTACTCAGAGCAATTGTGAACATCATTTGGAAAGGTAATCACAGAACCTTCTTCTAAATATCTTTCTGTATATTTGTATTTCTTTCTTCAATACATTCTTCTATTTTCATCCTAGGCTCGCAGGAAGGAGGTGTTTATCCAGGAACGGTATGGGAGATTTAATCTAAACGACCCATTCTTGGCACTCCAGAGAGACTATGAAGCAGGTGCTGGTGACAAAGAGAAGAAACCCGTTTGTACCAATCCCCTCTCCATCCTTGAAGCAGTCATGGCCCACTGCAGAAAAATGCAAGAAAGAATGTCCACACAGCTGGCTGCTGCTGAGAGCAGACAAAAGAAGGTAATGAGGCTTTCATTACTGATATTTTATGGTCATTTCCCCATGATGCAGGGTAAATGAAGAAACTATCATTGAGGTAGATGCTTGTTGCTAAATATTGTATTTTCAGGAGGAATTGGGATAAGTACTTTGATTGGCAAAATGCTACAGGTTCTGTGTCCCTTTTAAAATGCAACTTAAAATGCAACAGAAGGCTGGGGTTGTGTGTCTCAGTGATAGAATGCTTGCCTAGCATGTGTGAGGCACTGGGTTCAATTCTCAGCACAGCATATAAATAAATAAAGCCTGTTGACAACTAAATAAATATTTTAAAAAATAAAGCAATTTTTAAAATCTTTAAACAAAAATGCCATGGAAAGTAACAGTAAATCATAAGGGAAGTTTGACAAAGGAATTATGTTTCCCATGATGGTTACTTTGAAACTTTCTTTAAAAGATGTATTTTTGAAATTTTTGTTTTTGTTTTTGTTTTTGTGATGGGGCTGGAGAGCCTTTATTTTCCCAGAGCAGTAAGACTTGCTTTAGCTGCATGGTGGCTCAATCCAGCAGTGCAACCAGTACTCTCTGATCATTTGGGAGCATCCCCAAGTTATTTTATCCAGCACCTGTCTAAAATATTTGTTTGCAATCAGAAATAATTTTGTTATTTTAGTTTTTGTTATTTCTTTGGGAAATGAAACATCAAATAGAACAGAATGAAAGTTTGTATGGCTTATCCAGTGTCACAATGTGTTGTAAAGTACTGGTGAGTGTCAAATTCACCTCTGGGATGCAATGACTGGCAGCTGCAGACCTCCTGCTCATACATGTCCATTTGAACCCACCTCCTTCCCCTTTCACTTTCCTTGCACTGGAGTACATGCTTCAAAGAATACTAAGCCTGATTTTAAAAAAACAACATATTGCGATTTATCATAAGGGAATTTAAGTTTCAATTTTATCCTTCTAACGTGCTGCCAATACTGTTGATTTTATTAAATAAGAGAGGAGGTCATAGAAGCTAATGCTGCCTGGTATGATTAAATTAAAACTAATGTTTTCCCCAATCATTATTAAAGTACAAATTAAAATGTTTATCCTTTTCAGAGAATTCTTCATATCTCATATTTAACACCTGATGTACACACAACCTGAATGCAGTATGCTGTCAATATTTATGATAATATCATTGAACACGCATGTGTCTTTTCCTTGTAATTAGGTCTTTAGTTAACATATGAATGCCAACATTCTGGTGTAGGCGCTGAATAAAGCAAACATTTTCCTCAGTATGTTACATGGTAGAAAACAAAAGCACTGACTAAAATAGTGAAGAATAGAATTGCCTTTATGATGTGAGGCAAAGTCACTGTACTCTGGACTTTGCAAACCCTCCACCAAGCCCTGCAGTCAACCACACTTAGCAAACCCTCCACCAAGCTCTGCAGACAACCACCAAGGTCTCTGGAGGGTTTAAAAACTCCCCACAAACCGCACAAGCAGAAGCCAGTTTATTTCAGCTGATGTCACTGAAATTCATTTATATTTCTTGGATGGGTTACATTTTAATTATGTTCTTAACATGTCAAATGAGCTATATAATAATAAATTATTTCTACTGCAATTTGTGCTGTATTATCAAAAATCAGGAGGATATTTTCTTTTCATTTAATATATAAATAATGCATACTTGCCTCAATTTTACTTCAGTCCTGCTTTTATTTATCCTCTCTCTTTTAGGAGAAAATAAAGAACCCATTTCTAGTTGAGTCAAAGATTTTATTATCTGGCTAATTTTTTTCTAAATCAACTTACATCCTGTTTGTTTCTGAATGACTGGGTCATTTCCAACCTGGCTGGGAGTGAAAGGAAATCGTTCCTGTCCTGTGAACCCTGAGAGGCTAATATAAGATGAGCCAGTGCATCTGCCTCCCATGTATACCAGGGATACAGGAGTCCTTTATGGCCAGATTCATTGGCTGTATAGTCTCAGTGAAGGGTTGTTTTTGACAGGAAATGCTGTTTTTTATCTTTAAATAATACTCTATTCCAGTAGATTACAGTGTTTCAGAAGAGTGGCAGTTTATACTCTTACCCTGTATCTTTCAAGAAAATATCTCATCACCTGATAAAAGCAGAAACCCCAAAGTTATCTTTCTTTTTTTAAACAACAAAATTATCTGTCACCTTTAATCCTGACACTCTCTCTCTCTCTCTCTCTCTCTCTCTCTCTCTATATATATATATATATATATATATATATATATATATATATATTTATATATATTTTAGCCAAATGTCTTCAGTACCCTGGTATATAGAGTAAATTGCAGCTTTAGAAACCTAAAAGCAATAAGGAAAAAAAATCAATTATTTTAAATGAGTTCAGTTCTTTAAATCATAGCCAGAGCGAAAGGCTGGGAAAGCAAAGCCCATTATCTGTAATTCAAGTATTTATTACCTAACACGTCATATCTTTTTGGTAATACTAAGACATTTGGCCTCAGTGTTGCTCTGGTTGGCCTCTCAAGGCTAGAGAAGAAGCCCTGTGCTCATTCATGCATAAGTTCCTGCTGAGACTACTAATAGGAGGGTTAACTGTTTGGTAATTTGTGTGCCAGAGAAATTTGGGCAAGAGTCAATTTGGCAAATGGGCTGAGCCTGTTAAACCACTCTGAATAAGCTAATGAGTAATCGTCATGGGGAACTTTGCCTCTGGTAATCTACTCCATGTTTTGAGCCAGGAACCCAGGGTGGAATGATATGTGGGTTTCTGGGTTTCTATTTTTCATCTTGTGCATCACCCTCTAATAGGGCTTCTATTCTAATGTATTTGAAAAATAGGGAGGACATCCATATATTTCTGCATTTTATTCATACTTAGAAAGCATTGTTTCTAGTCCTGAAATAGGAAATTTGAGCAAAGCCTTTAAAAATAAGAAGTCACAATAATAATTAGGGAATTCAGAGGAAGAGCAGATCTTTTCACCAGTGAAATAGCTAATGATAGTACTGTGTGTTAGATATAGCTTTTTCCAGGTCACAGCTCTGTATAATTAGGCCAGTTGCATGACAGTAGTTGCCTCTGATAGGATTCTTAGTTTTAAGCAAGTGAAGCCAAAGCCCATTGATATTTGTTGACTGGCTTACAGAAATATCAGCTGTTTTATAGCATGGTTCATCATGGTTGGACCGCTAGGGGGTCAGCTCTTAACATCCAGTATCATAGGCAGATGTTTCTTCCAAAGCTAGTCTCCAGCAGTTGGTGCTTCTGCTGATGAGCTGGAGGCTGCAGCTTGCCCCTCTTCCCTGATGATGCCAGACAGCCTCTCATCATCACTGCGTAGAATCTGGAGTGTGCCTCTACAGTCCTGTGTCTTTGCATCATTTATTTTCTATTGGAAGCCCAAGGCAATATATGACTTGCCAACCTTAGGCCACAGGCTCCCTAGCTGCATGGAAGGCCAGAAAAGTAACCATTTAACATATTTATATTCTGTAGGGAATAATTATTATGTGGAGAATTCTACCAGGAACATATTCCAGTGTTAGACAATGGGAGAAATGACAAGTGGGCCATAAAAGAACAAATTGTTTTGTTCATTTTATTTCATGTGACTTTTTCTTCTTGTTATAAATAACCACTTCATTCTGCCATCTGTATCCAGTGCTTTCTCTTTCACTATGCAATGGTTCCATTTATCACACATATGAATATATTTTAGTTTTAAATTACTTTCTATAATTTAATCCCATAATAACATGGTAGAGAATCATCTATAATGACATTTTTAGGAAAAAATATTTAGCACGTTTTTGTATGTGAATGCTTGTTTTAGCTCATTTCTGTATTTTCTTCTGTACCTGAATGATTACTACAGCTCACTTTTGTATAATTCATTGTTAAACTTCAAAATGCATTCTGATTTCTCAGGAGCATTGCAGAACAATTACTAAAGGAGAGCTGCAGACTCAGGTCTGTGGCTGTGAGCTGGATTTTGAGGACAGAGCATTTTGCCTGATCCATGTAAAGAGCAGCCAAACCCCCTGCTCCCAGGGCTTATCTTTCTTCTCTTGATGCGCTAGGTTAGGAGGAAGGGGAATATGAGAATTGAGGAGCCCAGATTGCTGACTGGTGTTATTGACCTTGATAGGAAGAGGAAGGGAAAATATATTTTCATACATTTTATTGTGATTCATTTGTTTACCATATTGAAAAGTTATGGGGTGACCAGGGGAAGAGGAAGACAAGGATGCCATGAATAATGAGAGATCCAAGGAAGCAATAAGGAATGTAGTTATAGGAGAATTTTTTTGTTGCGACAAACATGCGCTGTGCTTTCTCATTTCATAAATGACCATAATTGCTTTCCTCTCTGTTTTCCACTTTGAATTAGAGCTAACTGTCTTTATATTGCTGCCCTGCTCTCACCTACGTAGTTTTCCCTTTCATTCTGTGAAAGTGTGTTCCCCTTCATTCATGGCTTCTAGTCTTGTGCTATTCTGGGAGCCACCGCCTACTTTCTCACCACCCAACAAACTGTGTTAGCTCCTCTCAGCTCTTCCACCGCAGTCCACTGCTCTTTGCAAGAATGTTTGGTGATACTACTCTGCAAAATTCCCTTTAGCCCCTACTTGAAAGCTACTGAGTAGATGGTATAAACTGGACAACAGTATTATAACAAAGAAAACTGGATTTCAGTGGCGTACCTATACTGTGGTCCTCTTATTATTATTAGAGCTTTTTCGTTACTTTGGCTCCTTTTTAATTTAGATTATCTCTTTAAAATTTTCAGAGAGTCAGAGAATCAAATAAATGGAGATCATGGAGTTTTACATTCTTAGGAGTGTATAATGTGGTTCCTAGTACATAATAGGCAATTGAATGGATTTTTTTCTTCAAACATTACTTAAAACACTGCTTGCAATAAAGGGTATGAGCATAACTAATATTCAGATCATTCCAATTTAAACAAGTGCACATTTACCACTAGTAAATGTGGTGAACTGAACAATTTTTA